ATATATTTTTTTTTTTTACAGAGAAATTGATTATAAAGTAAATCAAGTATGGAATGACAATGGGACTGTCACATTTCAAAGAAAGAAAGTATGGTTCTTTGAAGAATCATTGTCCAATGGGAGTCTGACTGATAAAATAACCAACTTAAATCCGATAGTTGCAGTATGATATAATTATTTATCAGTTATTGTATAATTTTTATTGTGCGTTACGTTATAATGTCCAATTTTAGACAGTCGCATTTTCCGTAAAACGTAAATCTCCATTCATACGTAAGTTGACCAACGGATTTATGGTGCGTCTAGGAGAAAAACTAGTATTAACTAAAAGTGTAAATGAGCTATTATTCGAAGGATATAATGATACATTATTGGAAATTGCAAAAAAGATGAATGCTACTGCATTACCTTATACAAAGTTTGGATGGTTTTATGCGGTGAGTATAATAAATCACAAATATGCATCAAACACAATTCGATGTAATTCTAAACGAGAATTTTTTTTTTGTCATAGAGAAATGGCTCGGAGAGTTATGATGGCACATTCAATATGCTCACTGGATCAACAAATTTATATGATATGGGATTGGTCAAAGAATGGAATTTCAAGAATAGAACAGATTATTACGAGGGTTCATGCGGTATAATAAACGGAACAAATGGCGATTTTTGGCCACCCTTATCAAATAATAATACCGTATCTCTCTTTGTTCCTGATATTTGCACGTAAGTATTAAAAAATTATATAAAATATAGGTATCATTTAAGCTATATAACAAAAATATATATAAAATTGTCAAAATAAAAAATGCCTCTGATTTAATATTAATTAAATTTTAATTGATATTTTAATTGAATTAATTGCTTTTTTTTATTTTAACATATCTTTTGTTCTTAAAAAGATTAATGTTGAATTTTGAATAAATTGAATTACATATTAACTTTGTTGTGTATAAATGTTATTTATACATGTAAGTTATTTTGTATAAATGTTATTTATATATGTAAGTTATTTATACACACATTTTTATATAAATAGTATAAATTAATGCCAAAAATTCTTTTTTCAAAACATTAAACTATAAATATAAAAATAAATAAGTCCATTAGATAACAAGATTTGTATATTATTTAGATCTTTGAAGTTATCATATGCAAGTACAACGACATTTCAAAGTCTAACCGGAAGTAAATATATCGGAGATGATAAAATGTTAGATAATGGCAAAAATGTATCATCAAGACAGTGTTATTGTCCCAATGGAGATTGTGGACCTAGCGGAGCCTTAAATATTTCATCCTGTAAATATGGAGCGCCGGCATTCGTTAGTATGCCACATTTTTATCTAGCAGATCCAACTTACAGAAATGCTATAACAGGAATGTCGCCTGATAGAGAAAAACACGAAATATCAATGGTCATAGAACCGGTATGCATCTTACATAAAACATTATTCTCATCAATGTTATATATATATATTATGTAATATTATATTATATATTATATATGTAAGTATGTTATGATGCTGCATAGATATTATACACAAGATAAATTTTAAAGACTACAGGTATCCCGTTGCAAGTTAAGGCGCAACTGCAACTAAATTTATTAATAGAACCAGTGGAATACATGAGGTAAGTAATAGCATATATGATTGATATTACACACAGCAATTTCGTGAGAGTAAAGGGAAGGATTATTTTTGAAAGACGATGAAATGATTATGAGGCATAAGAAATAACACATTTCCTTTCACTATTAATTACTTAATTACTTAAATATATGTAACAGAAAAATATATCTGACGCGTTAAAATGCTTTATTTAAGATTTTAAGTTTTAATAATGTTTTCTATTAAAATTGTATCTTGAGTAATAAAAAAATTGTCTAAATTATTGAAACATGTAATAATAATAATAAAGTTATAAAATAATGGTTGAATTACATATGCAATCTCTCTATGGATAATCTACAAATGTTTTATACAATTTATTTGCTATTTTTTAGTATGTTTGAAAATATAAATAAGACGTACATTCCGATGCTATGGTTTACTCAAGAGGCTAATCTAACTGCCAGTTATGCAAGTCAAGTTGAGCTACTTTTGACTTTTCCATCATTGGGTACTGTAACGTGCTTTGGAGTAGCAGGTATTGGCGTTTTAATATTCTTCATTGGACTTTTTATTTACATCCGACAAAAGTGGCGGGGCGAAGATAATCAGGTGTTATTATCAAAATATGATGGCGATATTAGGAATAGAAGCGACGTGTAGTAATTGCTTTCTCTTGTGCCATTGATATAGTGATAGAAAGTTTTTACTTCCTTTTTAATTAAATTCTTTGCTTTACTTCCTTTACAATTACATTCAAGCTCCCTTTCTCAATTTTGAAAATTATCATAGAGCAGAGATAAGACTGTGTATCAATGTCTTATAAATATATTTGAAGAAAGAAATGTACTGTAAGAGTATAAAAGTGCCTACTTTAATTATTAGTATAGCAATGGATCCAATAAGTAATCAATAATAGATGTAGTTCAAGAAATCAATATTATATGTAAATACTAAACTAAAAAAATGATTTATTTCTACAATTGTCAAAATATAAAACAAATATAACTTTTATTCAAATGTTAAAAATTGTGATATAATATATTTGTGTAGCAAAACAATCTTCAAACACATTAAACCATCATCTTTTTGATGCAATGTGTATAAGTAATATGTTAAAATGCAATAAAAGAAAATTCAATAATATTATCACTTTATTAAATATATATAGCTATATATTATGGAAAAATAAATGAGAACCATATATATATTATATATATTATAAGTAGTAACAATATATTTCTGGATAAAAAAATTGTTAGTTTATTTTATGCAAGATTATCCTACTCTCTTTAAAGCTTATTAAATTGCAATAAGAATATATATTTTTTATGAATTATATATAATAAATACAGCTTAAAATGATGGCATATTTGTAACTATATCAGTAAAAAGTAGAATAAGAGAATAATTCTTGCAATTATATATTGCTATTATATCAAATCTTAAGAAATGATTTTTGAATTTCGGAATTAACTAATTCCAAAATTTAAATTCCGAATTAACAATAGTTTTTTGTTTAATTATGTACATAAAATACTAAAAGGAGATGTTACAATCATGTATTTAAAGACTATTAGAGACCGATAATGAGCGTTATGTGATTTTGGGTCTAGTCTTCTTATCAATCATTCATGATTGTAGTCTCTTCTTGCAAGATAGTTATGACTTATATTAAAATGGATAAATTATTACTCTCTATATATTATTATCTCTCAGATTGTTCGATTTATTACACTCGTATAGTAAACGTATAATATATATGCAATAAATGCAGGACTAATGGAAATCATATATAACGAGAATTTTTGTTGTACATGCAGCGATTTTTATTAATCGCCAATAATTTTATAATTTCGCGGATTATTTTAGCTATCTCTTTTTGCTGATCACACATATAACAACTAAGTTGCGGCAAAATTAGGTATTGTCATCAAATTTAAAAAGTTTAGACAATACATTAAGATGTATTATGCAAAATTATTAAAATAATCTGTTTAAATGAAAGCTCTAAAAATTCGACTTATAAATACAGATTTATTCGTGTATATATATAATAACAGACGTTATGGTATCTTTTATGATATTATTTCTGCAGTTTCAGATATAAAATAAAATTCGCAATAAAATATATTATACTCTTATGTAATCGAACTTTAATACTTGTAATTCTAAATATCTGTGATATTCAATGGAAGAATATGTGTGTGCACGAAAATATGAAAAATATAAAACTGTTTTATAAAAAATATGCATTACATCATTTATTACATCATTCATATATTTTCATTTTTAATTATATAAGACATTCAATTTAAGCTTAAGCTCAAATTCTTTCTTTGTGTAAGAGAAACTTAAGTAATTTAGGTTTGTTTCTTCTGCAAAAAATAATATAACAAAGTGATTAAAGATTAAAGTTAAAATTACGGTGAAAGAACATATATTCTAACATTCTATTCTCTCTTTGCATTATATGAATATTTTTAATGATAAATCAAAATTGTGTTTTTGGAATTACGATACTACTTACAGATATAGGAAGTATTTGTAACATTGAATCACACATTATCTATGAATGCTTTGAACAATTTAATTTGAAAGTTAGTGGTTTAAATTTAGGACACTCTGTGCAAAATCGTTATTTACATCGATTAATTTTTTATCCATTCTCGCTTCGAAAATTTTACGGATCGTTCAATTGGTTTTCCATTAATGTATTTTTGATGATAAAACGATTTAATAATATGACCACGCGACAAAAAAGATATAGCTTTTATAGTATTATATATATATATATATATATATATATATATATATATATATATATATATATATATATATATATATATATATATATATATATATATATATATATATATATATATATATATATATATATATATATATATATATATATATATATATATATATATATATATATATATATATATATATATATATATATATATATATATATATATATATATATGGTCAAATAGTCGCACGCGCATTATTTTGGAATCGTCGGTCTTTAATTACAATTGCAATCAAATATAAATATATATCGGACCCTTTTACCCTTCAGGCTCCCAACCGTGTATAACCTTTCGTGTATACCTTTTGCATCTTTCATTATATTTTCCGGATATCGTACTCTGCTATATTGCTCTTGTCTCTAGACATCAATATTCTTTTCCTTCCTAATAGGTCGATCGTCGTGACAATAGAATAGTAGAATGGAAGAAAAGTGTTATTTTTACATACACACATATGTATTTGGATAAATATGTATGTGTATTAAAAAAATCTCTTTTTCTCTTTCACTTTTACTCTTTTTATCGACGATTGGCCCGTTTTATATCATCTCAAATTACACAAACGCTTACCTTGAAATATCGCAAATTTTGCACTTTAATTATTAGCATATCATTAGTTTAGAGTGTCACATTTATAAGTTATTCCTACAGCTTATATTATTGCTTATACTATCTTAATTAATATGATGCCGTGCCAAAAGTTCTTAAATGCGATGTTTATATTTTAATTTTAACATAAATTGTTATTTAATCAAATAATTAATATTTTTAAGTTAAAGAAAAAAGCTGGAAATATTACATAATGCAAAAGGCGATATGTTCCGTATGCATTCGTATGTCACAAGTTCCTTGTGTGGTGTATGTGTATTTCTTTTTTTCTTTTCATATTAGCTAAAGAACCTCTGTTAGAGAACCTCTGTGTTTTATGCATATTCCATTATTGCACTTGTTAAAATATTAAATAAATAATAAATAATTAATATATATCCCTCGCTAATTTCAATAGAATTGCAATTAATCGAATTTCTACGAGTTTCTCTCTCTCTTTAGCGTATATTTTGTGCGTAGAAATAATATTAATTTAATATTTAATATATAGTAATTGCAATTTCTGGTGTTTCACAACTGTTCTAAAAGTATTTTGCTTTTTGTTATTATGCATTCTATTGTGTATGTTATTAATAATATTTTGTTATTAAATTTTCGTTAAATAACATTATTAAAATATATAGGGTTTTCCGCGAATATTTTATTACGATTGATTATCTTTACAATGTTTTTTTTTGGCATAAAGCAATGCAAGTAATTGCCTTCCATTATATTAGTGATTTAATTTCCTTGGTATCATATTTATTAGAAATAGCTGACACTGGACTTATTTAGATAAATTGAAAATGATCACTCTCTTATTTTCTCATTCATCCCTACTTTCGTCGATTCCAATGATCAACTTTCAATAATAATTTTCCTTGAAATTATATTTTATATTGATAAGAAATGATTGTGACATACTGAGACATTGGATGAAATAAAAATAATTATTTTTATAAATCCCTTTTTAAGGGGGAAACCCATTTTATCTCCCTTCTCCCTTTCTTTCCGGTCACGCACTCATAGATAGGAATGTAGGTCGTGTAAATCGCGCTAAAGAGAACCATAAAGCATGGAGTTGGCGGTGCTGCAAGCTTGACGCAGTACATAGTACATCTCTTTCGTTCGTAAAGTGTATTCGGAGGAAGTCGCCGCAAAAAAAAAAAAAAAATGGGTTTTTCAAAAAATTAAA